TATATATAAATTATATATATTATATGCGTGCATGCGTGCGTGCGGGCGTGAGTGTATGCTATTCATTTGTTGTTGCTATATCATTGAATACTTAGTGTGGTGAGCGTGTCTGTGGGTGTGGCTGAGGGTGTGGCTGTGGTCGAGGGTATAGGTGTGGGTGTGAGTATGTGTGTGTGTGTGTGTGTGTGTGTGTGTGTGTGTGTGTGTGTGTGTGTGTGTGTGTGTGTGTGTGTGTGTGTTTCCTTGTCTTAATTCATGCCTTCCTCCCTCTTGCTTTATCGGCCTCTCGCCTGCTTCTCTCCTGGCGTCCATTCATCATAAAAGCTTCCTTTCTTCTCTACTCTCTCCCGCGCGCGTTCCCTGTCGTTCCGTCATGTTCCTCTGGCCTCCCGCACTCACTCGAGTCCCCTCCAGCAAAATATTGTTCTCTCCTCTTCTCTTTTCCGCTCTCGCTTGCATATCTAATATGTGATTGCGGATGGGCAATGAAACTGCCTGTCGATAATGACTGTATAAATCCCGGCTGTAAACTGTGCGAAGCATGAAATGCACGTTGACTGCTACTTGCTATGTAAAAGTTACACCATTTCACGCGCGTGAGAATATAGCAAATCTATCACAGTGCAGTATATATTATGAAAATTTTGCGTTGCCGCAAAATAATCATGAAAAATATTTGAGAAAAAAATCGCGCGACCCATTTTATATATTGAATTTCTAATATTCGGTATCTGATTTTAATTAAATAACACGTGACATGCTTTGCACCAATGGCAAACGAGGTAGTTTTTGTATCTAATGTGCCGTCGAGCGATAGTTCAAAGACCGACCCTGAGTTGACCTTACGAGACCTCATATGATGATGAGGTAAGGATATCATGAAAGCCCCATGTACATAACCTGCAACCAGCGACAGATCATACGTTTCTTAGTTCCATTCGGTCGGTGACAGGGTCAAGACCAGCGGTCAAGACATGGACATGCAGACAGCAGTGACGACCGTGAAGAGTCGAGTGAGAGCGTTATATGAGGATGGCAGGAACTGAGCGAGCGTATATCTCGACTGAGATGGATTAATGGAAATTGCGTGTGAGAGATTCAATTATATTGCTGAGGCGGAATGAGTCCTTTAATGAAAATCGAGCGCTTAATGGGATGTCGGATGAAATCTCAACCGCAGGCGAGCTCAATGAGAAGTTAAACGATACGCGTCATCGTGGCGATATACGTGGAAGCATAGGCATGTACGGAAACGTATATATGCACGCAGCATAAACGAACACGAGCACGCATAATCAAACGTACGCACACGCACGCACACACACGCACACGCACGTACACGCACACAC